CTGGAGCGCCCTGCAATGCAGTGCACCCTGTTTAGAACCTGGCACTTCAGGAGAACATCCTATGTGGGTTTCTTCCACCCTGCTGTTGTGTTGGAGTCATTTTTCCTTTCAATGCAGTCATCTGCACGCCTCTCTGCCTGTTGTGGGCTCTGCTTGTTCATCCTCGCTGTTTGGGGGCTCCCTGGCATGGATGTCTGTTTTTCCCCTTTCTCAGTGCTGCCGGCTCCCTCTCCACATAGACAGCTTTGCTCTCAACCACATCTTCACACTTCCTACCTTCTTTGTTGTGGCCTCTTTTCTACCTTTGGTTGTGGAGTTTGTTCAGCTAGTCTTCAGATCGCCCTCTAGTTATTTACACTATTGTGTTATCTAGTTGTATCTGTGGGATGAGGTGCACTTAGATTCCTCGTGTTCCCCCATCTTCCCAGCCCCATACGTTCTTATTTCTTGTGTAATAGGCCATTAGTTCCTTTTAGTAGATTCCTGGTAGTATGTTCCTAGGTCAAAGGACACATGTACTTAAATAGATTACTATTTAAGATATCTACAAAAGATTGATAGCTCCCCCCCCGCCCCCAATTGAAGTTCCTCTAAGAGTGATCTTGAGTTATTTTACTTTATGACACGTTTTGACTTTTGTTCTAAGGGGTTATGTTACATTTCTTGCTAGAGGACAAGAAGTTTTTTCCATGCTGAAGGAATTGAATTTTGTGGTTGTAATAAGTAGATTCTGTCCAACTTGCCTGCAATCTGAAATTTTAAGTTCCCCAATTTGCATAATTAGAGTTCAGAAAGTTTTCTATTTTTTAAAGCAGAATCCAATTTTAGGATGAGACCTAGTTGTGCTAAATATATTCTTTCATCACCTGCTTATGATAGGCATGGTCAAGTTTCTCTTAATCACGAAGTATTCAGTTTTAAATAACGGTATGTTCATTTAGAATAACATCTCTAGTGTATGAGTGGAATTCATAATTATTAGCATTAAATGGCCTTGGGCAATAGAAAGCTACCCCTCACCCCAATATTTCAAGGAGGTAGGGTTAAATACTTCGAGAAATTTAGCAGGGCTTGTAACAATGAGCGAATACATGAAGAAAAAGATGGGTAGGAAATCATGGAGTTCTATCTGGCCCCTTGTTACATGTGAGTACTAAGATTTCTTTTTTTTTTTTTAATGTTTATTCATTTATTCTGAGAGAGAGAGAGAGAGAGAGAGACAGAGAGAGAGAATGAGTGAGCATGGGGAAGGGCAGAGAGAATCCCAAGCAGACTCCATGCTGTCAGTGCAGAGCCCAATGTGGGGCTCAATGTCATGAACTGTGAGATCACCACCTGAGCCAAAGTCATACACTTAACTGAAACACCCAGGTGTCCCCACAAACAGGGCTCTTGACACCAGCCCTTAGAACCTGGCCAACCTACCATAGCAATGGCTATACACTATTGGTCAAACATATGCACACCTGACACTTCCCACTGAGTTCACCCTTGAGTCTAGTGTGAACCTAACACTTGTCATCTAAATAATCAGGGATGTAGGATGTCAGAGTTCCTCAAGGATGGAAGGAGAGAACATGAAGGTTTTGTTGGAGGCTCTGCACAGGCTCTACACTGGGCATTCTGGGGTCAGGTCTGGGCCAGATTGGGAGTGGATAGGTCTTCAAATCAGCGACAGAACTAGACTCTTGGATTCAAAACTTTGGCCTATTGTGTAACGCATAGGCTTATTACAAAGTGATAGATGAAGGACGAGCCAGTAACAAGGATAAAGATCTCTACCAGAGGTCTCAGCAGGAATCTCTCCTTATGGTAAAAATAGATGATTTTTTGATGTCTTGGGAAGCTAGCATTCCAAACTTACTTATTGCCATGAGTCTTGGGACAGTTTCAGAATCAATATGAACTGGCTTCTCTTCTCCTAAATTCATATAGTAAAATTTCCCTTTGACCAGTTAATTTTTAACAGCAAAATCATTTACTGTAAATAGTGCCTAACAGAAAAAAGAAGGCAGGGATAGTGGAAGGAGTGGGTTCAGTATGGCATGTGCTTTCCTATCTCCTTACTGGCATATTTAAAACCAGCTTACTTATTATGCTTGTGAGTTTCCACTCCACCTACCCCTAGATTTCTCTTTATTCTCTACTAATCAGAGTGGCTCTATCCTTTCTAGAGCGCTCACATGTTAGGTTTCAGCTTTGAAGCAAGTTCTTTAAGAGCTGGACATAAAGAGCTATTGAAACAAAAGGACTAACCTTCTATTTAAACTTCTCACCTTTGCTCCAGCCCCATCTAGTTTTTTAAGGTTAGCCACTCCCTTCACCCCCACTTAATTTATGTGCCAAATATCTGAAGACTCATAATGGGAAGACTTCATAATTCTCCCAGGAAGGTTATGAGACAAAGCAGCAACAATGAATAATCTTTATGTAAGATTTACTGGATGGACCAAGCACGGACTTTATGTCTAAATGTAGTTTACAGTGGTTGCAAACTGGTAGTAATCACAGAATTTGTCCAAAAATAAAATTATGTAATCTCTAGAAAAGAATGGTACTTTCATACAAGGATATTGAGAAGCCCCATAACATCTCTTTTCAAGGACAGAGTGACCAACCAAATAAGCAAAACAAAACAGAAAAACAAAGCAAATTGAGTGACAAATTAAAAAAAATAAATTTACAAGGAAATTCATAAAATCTTGTTAACGGTATTATCATATGCATATTATGAGTTACCTGTGTCTACTATGTTACCACAAGTATTTTAAAAACTGAAATTAAAAAAAATTCCCTGGAAAGGGAATTACGAATAGGAGATAGATCAGAATAAAGGATCCAGAACGCAATACGGACGCTGACAGATGGAAATCACAGACAGCTATTTAAGACTCATGAAGGATAAAGCAGAAAGAGCTACTAACTGGCGTTCACAAAAGGAAAGAGTGGGGAAGAAGCAACAATGAAGGGAGGAGACTGCTGAGCACAGGAAGATGCCACTTCACACATGCTCAACAAATCCCATGCAGGAGAAAAATCAAAGAATTTCACACTATCAACCATGCAGAAACTTTAGAAAACACATTTGGTTACTGAATCCAGTTCCAAACTCCAGAATTCTATGGAGGGAAAATCTTTCCTAGTCTCCACACTTCACCTTTTTTTTTTTTTTTTTTAATGTTTTGTTTATTTCTGAGAGAGAGAGACAGCATGAACAGGGGGGTCTTAGAGAGAGAGGGAGACACAGAATCTGAAGCAGGCTCCAGGCTCCGAGCTGGCAGTCAGCACAGAGCCCGACGTGGGGCTCGAACCCACGAACCGCGAGATCATGACCTAAGCGAAAGTCGGATGCTTAACCAACTAAGCCACCCAGGCGCCCCTCCACACTTCACCTTTAAAATCTTACATTTTTCTGGGGCACCTGGATGGCTCAGTTGGTTGAGTGTCCTCTTGGTTCCAGCCCTGGTCATGATCTCACAGTTGTGGGATTGAGCCCTGTGTCACACTGAGCAAGGAGCTTACTTGGTTCTCTCTCTCTCTGCCTCTCCCTCACTTGCTCTCTCTCTCTCTTTAAATAAATAAACTTAAAAAAAAAACACATTTTTCTATGTAACTTGTATTTTTAAATTTATTTTTAAATTTACATCCAAGTTAGCATACAGTGCAACAATGATTTCAGGAGTAGATTCCTTAATGCCCCTCACCCATTTAACCCATACCCTCCCCCCACAACCCCTTCACCAACCCTCTGTTCTCTATATTTAAGAGTCTCATGTTTTGTCCCCTCCTTTTTTTTTATTATTTTTGTTTCCCTTCCTTTATGTTCATCTGTTTTGTATCTTAAATTCCTCATATGAGTGAAGTCATATATTTGTCCTTTTCTGACTAATTTTGCCTAGCACAATACCCTCTAGTTCCACCCACGTTGTTGCAAATGGTAAGATTTCATTCTTTTTGATTGATGAGTAATACTCCCTCATATATATATATATGATATATATATATCACATTTTCTTTATCCATTCAGCTGTCAGTGGACATTTGGGCTCTTTCCATACTTTGGCTATTGTCGATAGCACTGCTATAAACATTGGGGTGCATGTGCCCCTCTAAAACAGCACACCTGTATTCCTTGGACAAATACCTAGTAGTGCAATTGCTGGGTAGCAGGGTATGTACTTTAACATCAAAAAGGCCTTTGCTCTAAAAGAACATTGACCAAAAGATGTGCAATTCTCAAAGAAGGAAATATTAAAGCCAATAGATACATGAAAAGATTCTCAAACTTATTCACAATAAAAGATATGCAAATTTAAGCCACATTGTGTCACAATTTCACACTTAGCATACTGGCAAAATTTGAAAATTTCAAAAAATCAAGTGCTGGCAGTAATAGCTGGCAGCCAAAATAACTATAACCATGCTGGGAGTGCAAATTGGTACAATTTCGTAATACAATTTGCCATTATATAATAAAGATGTGGTTGGGAATATACTTTGTATTGGCAAATATTTTCTTGTTAAATATTGTAAGCCTTAAAAATTTTTTTTTTAATTTTTTTTTTTAGAGACAGAGAGAGACAGAATGTGACCAGGGGAGGTGCAGAGGGAGGGACACAAAATCTGAAACCGGTTCCAGGCTTCTAGCTGTTAGCACAGAGCCCAATGCGGGACCCGAACCCACAAACCATGAGATCATAGCCCGAGCAGAAGTCCAACACAACGACTGAGCCACCCTGCTGCTCCGATTGTAAGCCTTAAGAAGAATCTAGGTGGTGTCACAGTTTTTTTACAAACTACTTTTGCCACAGGAATTAAACACCACACCCACAAGATATATACCAAGGTGGAGCCATTGTCTGATGAATCTGATGCACGTAAGTACTTGACATATACAAGAAAATTCATGGTCACACGATTTATAATTTAAAAATAAGTACAATTAAAATGAACAATTATAAATTGAAAAAAAGTAATAAAGGATAAACCCAAAGACACACCCGCAGTCGGCTGCTTTGGCCAATGAACAGCTACAGGTAGTGCGCGTTTGGGCCGGCGGGTGGGGCGAGGTCAGCTCTTCTGGAGACAGAGGTGGGTCGGGCGCTACCAGTGACCGGAGGAGTGAAGGTCGTTTTCCTCAAAGCGCTCACTCGAGTCTGCCATTTCTGAGTCCTTCGAGGACCAGTACACGTGACGGCGGCAGTCAGTGTCACAGCCACGACGCGACTGCACACATTTCCGGGAAGTGCCGGCTGTCCGCTGACAACTGTTGCCACGAAAGCCTGGACACTTGAAGGGCATTTTATGGAACTACAGTGCTGGGCAAACGGACGCCGAACACTCAAGGCCCTTACGTGCTGACCAGCGTGGCCCACGGTTTTGCAGGAGAGGAGACCTTCAGCTGGCAGAGACCAGCTCTCAGTCGGCACCATGCAAGGGCGGCCCACGTCCCGGCAGGAGGACATACGCGCGAACAGACCGGCGACCCGGAAGACCTTTCGCGGCCGTCTGATTTTTCTGGCAAATGTAGTTTCGTGGTTCGGGCGCCATTGTGCTTAAGCAAGCAGAAAGCGGTCCTGTTGTCCTCTGGATACTTCGTGTGCGCGTCCCGGTGGAGCAGCTCTGCGACGAGAGCCATCCGGAGGGACTTTCCTCAGAGAGCGCAGCCATTTTTCTCTCCTGGCGCCGGGAGCACGCGCGGCCGCGCAGCCTTCTGGGAAGTGTGGTTTTACCGGGGCGGTGGGGGCGTCCGAGGCGCAGGTTACTTGGCCCCCGGCGCGGAGGCATCTGGGAAATGCCGGGCTGGCTTGGATTCCGTTCTCCGTCCACCCCGCGGTAGCGTCGGGCAGGCGGCAGAATTCTCCAGGCATAGTGCAGTTCTCGTGACGGCGGCGGCCGTGGTCGGCAGAGGTGCAGGCTCCGGACCGCCCGGCCCGGGCCTCGGGGGCCAGGGAGGGCCCCCCGGAACTCAGGCAAGTGTGAGTCCCGGCAGGGCGGCGGCGCGCCGGGCACGCTGGTGCCGAGTCTACCCCGCGGTGTGAGCACCGGCCGGGCCTTAGCTTCCTCGGCCTCTCTGTAAAAGGGGTGTCGCTTACCTCCTAGAGTTGTTGCGACAAGGAAATGGGCGAGTGAGTGCAGGGTACGCATTGAAAGAAAACCCCGTCCGCAATGGGTTTTAGCTAATCCGGTCATGAAACTGACGCTTTTCACTTGTGCAGCCATCAACAGATTGGTTCAATATCGCGGAGTTTCAGTTTTCTCACCCTTTAGAAAAGAAATATGGAATAATGTGAATGTCCTCCGTGCATAGTTGTGAAGATTGAACGAGCTCTTAACATGATTACGGTTTTGTGAGTCTCGTGTGTGTGTGTGTGTGTGTGTGTGTGTGTATAAAATATATACTTATATACATATGTATATTGTGTGTGTGTGTGTGTGTGTATATATATATATATATATATATATATATATATATAGTAGATTTACACGCCGTTGGCACCTGGTGAATGATTACTTCGTGCTAAGGAGCACTCTGCTAGTTCAGGGGAAAAATGGAGTCCTACAAAGTGATCCCCAGTGTACTTTTCCTTGCAAGTGGGTTACAGAACTGCAAGATAAGCCTCATTTTTCATGGCTTCTTTTTTGTGTTCTTGATCTGCCTTCTTAGGACTACTCTTCTCTAAGACAAAAGCCTTGAAAGAGGACTGTGTTGACTATTGGAAATTGCAAAGTCATGTTGCAGGTAAGTCGGTAAGGTCCTCGCATCTTCCTGAAACACCTTAACAGAACTCTTGAATGTTTGCTTTGCTTCTCTTACCAGTTCCTACCTGACAAAGTCCGTTTAGGGACTGGATCTATGATTCCTTTCATTATACCAAAGGATGGAGCCCACAGAACTCCCAAAGAACTGTCTCCTCTCAGTGCTTCTCTTCTGCCATTTTTTCTGCATGAAGCCTCTGTAGAGCTTGAGCAAAACCTTTTTTCTTTTTTAATTACAATTCAGAATTCAAGTTTAGAATTTTAGGTTATTTGCTTTATGGTTGTCAAAGCAATATTATGTGGTCTCAGTTAATGGTAAGTTGTTCAAATCAAGAGATGTTTGGAGTCATCTTTGATTCTTTCCTTTCTCTTGTAACTTACATTCAGATGCTCTAGTTGAATCTAAAATGCCTACCAGTTATCTCCAGGATCTCACCAGTGGTTACAACATCACCACCACCACCACTGCCACCATCCAGTCATTCCTCATCTTAAAACTCTTCAGTAACCCTAACTCAGAAGTCAGAGTTCTACAGTGACTTAAAATGCTTTGTGCAGGGGCACTTAGGTGGCTCAGTTGGTTAACTCTTGATTTCGGCTCAGGTCATGATCTCACATTTGTGAGATCGAGCCTTGCATCAGGGGGATCCTTGCTGGATCCTAAGAGCCTAAGGGTCTCCCTTTCCCTCTCCCTCTGCTCCTCCCCTGCTGGCTTCTTGCGTGCTCTCTCTCTCAAAAAAAAAAAAAAAAGAAAAGAAAAGAAAAAAGAAACCAAAATGCTTTGTGTAATTGGGCTTTTAGCTATCTGATCTCATCTTACTACTCTGTCTTCTTGTTCCCGTGAGCTCTAGCCACGTTGGCTCCCTTGGAAATTGCTGTACCATCTGCTTGGAATATTCTTTCCCCAGAATATGTAGAGGCTTGCATTCTTACCTCCTTCATATCTTTGCTCAGTGGTTACTTTCTCAGTTAAGCTTCCCTAGACACCCTCAGTCACCTTGTCTAACAATCACTTCTACTCCTCTTCACTGCTTTGTTGTTTTCCAAAGTGATTATCATTCACTAGGTAACACACTGTCCAGTAAGTGCATGTGCTCATTGTTCATCTCTTCCCTCTGGGAGGGATTTTTTCCCCCCTGTCTTGTTGACTGTTTTCAGGACCCAGAGCAGCATCTGGCACAAAACATGCTTGGTTCTAAATAATAAGATATCACGATAGCCGCACTTTCTGTTTCGTGGAGGAAGGCTTTATTAATTATAAGGGAATGGGAGTATAAGGAATTAAGCAATTAGAGTAAACATAAAGAGGGAGAGAAGTATAGAGAGGAACAGAGGAGGGATAAAACAGCAAATCAGGTACTTAAAACATCTGTCCTTCTGGCTGCGGAAACCCCTGCATGATCAGCCCAATTGGAGTCCCAGGGTCCTGGAAGGAGCATCCTTCCCTTGGATGGGACTTCCAAGTAGCTGTCCTCCCAGGGCAATGTGTACACACACACACACACACACACACACTACCCTTGTGTGATTTATGGTTTGTCATTAATTAAGTTTGCCTAAGTGCAGTGCTGAGCAAGCTGTTTCTCTTTTTTCCCTGCTTCTCTTACTGTATCTCACGCCCAGGAGCCTGGCGTCTGCATATTCCTTTTCCCTCCCTGCTGCATTCCAGGGGACCAGCCTGGTCTGGCTCAAGGAGGAATGGGAGGCACACTAATCCCTCTTGGTGTCAGGAACAGAAGGGCCAGTTTTGATCCTGAGGCCAGATACAGAGTACAAGCCAACTGAGCCCCCATGATTGTGTATGTGTGGCTCCGGGCAGAAATGCATAACAAGTCACACAAACAGCTTTACACAGAACATTAGTAAATCATTGTTGAGTGAATGAGCTTTAAAAAAAATGGTAGGATCATCAGGTGGAAGGTGAAGCCTGCACAGAAGGTGTTAGTGGCATATGTGCATGTTGGGCAGAGTCTGTTTTCCTGGGGATATTAGATAACTAGGGGAAAAAACTATCTTTTTTTTTTTTTAAGTAAAAGCTAAAGTGAAGTAGTTGCCAAAATCATTCATTGATAACATTTTGTAAATGCTTGTGAAGTATCTGTTAGGAAGAATCTTACATAGATTTGAGCATCCACTGACACACAGGACTTCGTGATCTAAAAGAACTTGCTTGCTTGCTTGCTTGCTCTCTTTCTTTTTTAAGTTTGTTTTACTTATTTAGACAGCGAGCACAAGAAGGGCAGAAAGCGAAGGAGAGAGAGCAAGTACCAAGCAGGCTCTGCACTGTCAGCATGGAGTCCAAAGTGGGGCTCACACTCCCGAACCATGAGATCATGACCTGAGCCAGAATCAAGAGTTGGACGCTTAACCGACTGAGCCACCCAGGTGCCCCCTCAAAGAACTTTCTACAGTGGTGTTGGAAATATTCTTTATGTGTGCCATCCAGTGTAGAGCCACTAGCCCCATATGACTATTGAGTACTTGAACTATGACTAAAGTGACTCAGGAACTGAATTTTAAATTTTATTTAATTTTTATTGATTTAAACATACATAGCCAGACACGGCTAGTGGCTACTGTATTGAGCCAGTACAGGACTGGTAGAAAAGTAAGAAAGCATAAGATATCAAGATAGGTGCTGAAAATAATATCCTAAGTTCTTCTGGGAACACAGATGAATGAGCATCCCAGGCTGCCCAGGCAACTGAAGGGGAAGGAAGAGTTGAAGCATCCCTGGAGAAGCAAGGCTGGAGCTAGTTTCGGTGACCCATGGTACCAGGGAGGCAGAGATGGAAGTAAAGTTAGAACAAACGGAACATCTTGAGCATTGGTAGATAGGGCTAAGAGAGTCTTTCAAGGACTAAAAATGTTCTAAAGTGGTGGTTCTCAAACAGGTGATTTTGTCCTCTTTAGCCCTACCCATAGGGGACTTTTGATAATGTCTGGAGACCTTTACGGTTGTCACAGCCCTGGGGGCAGAGGGGAATTGCTACTAGTATCTAATGGCCAGAGGCTAAGGATGCTACTAACTAAACACTCTACAATGCACAGAACAGCTCCCACAACAGTTATCCAGCCTAAAATGTCAATAGTGCCATGGTTGAAAAATCCTGATCTAAAGAAAGAACAAAGGGTATCTATTAATGAGATTACGTGGTTCTTTTTTTAGACTTTTAACACAGTGACGTTCATTAATATGTGTTCAAAACCTATGAAATATCTTTGCATTGGTGGAATAAAATATAGTGTTTTATGCATTCATTTAGTATTGAATTTTTAATTTTGTTTATCAAATGGTGTTGTAAAAGCCAATCATTTAAAATCATTGTAGAAAGTTGGAAGAGACGGGAAGTTCATAAGGCTAGCATAACCTTAATACCTGGGTAAGAGTAAATACAAATGGAAAAAGGAGGGGCTCCTGGGTGTCTCAGTCGGTTAAGCGTCCGACTTCGGCGCAGGTCATGATCTCACCGTTTCCGAGTTTGAGCCCCGCATCGGGCTCAGAGCCTGGAGCCTGTTTCAGATTCTGTGTCTCCCTCTCTGTCTCTGCCCCTCCCCCACTCATGTTCTGTCTCTCTCGTGACAATGAATAAATACTAAAAAAAATTAAACAAAAGGAAAAAGGAATTTTCCCTGGTGCCCAAGTGGAAAGAGAAAAGAGATCCTCCCCACCTCCCTTTTTTCCTTTGAGAAAAACCTGTAACTGTAAATCCTTTCTCTGTTCCTTTGCTCCGTTTGTGGATCTTTCTTTTTTTTTTCTTTTCTTTTTTTTATTTTCTAAGATAATATGTTTTTTTTATTATTATTTTTTACAAATAGTTTATTGTCAAATTAGTTTCCACATAACACCCAGTGCTCATCCCCACAAGTGTCCTCCTCCATGCCCATCCCCCCTCCCCCCCACATCCATCAGTCCTCAGTTTTTGTCAGCATTCAAGAGTCTCTCATGGTTTGCCTCTCTCCCTTTCCCCCACCATTTCCGCCCTTCTTCTCCCCCTTGTTCCTCCGTCAAGTTCCTCCTAATCCTCCTATACGTGCAAACATATGATATTTGTCCTTCTCTGCCTGACTTATTTCGCTCAGCATAACACCCTCAAGGTCCATCCATGTTGCTACACATGGCCAGATTTCATTGTTTCTCATTGCCATGTAGTATTCCATGGTATAGATAAACCACATCTTCTTGATCCATTCATCTGTTGATGGACACTTAGGCTCTTTCCATGTTTTAGCTATTGTGGAGAGTGCTGCTATGAACATTGGGGTACATGTGCTCCTATGCCTCAGCATTTCTGTATCCCTTGGGTAAATTCCTAGCAGTGCTATTGCTGGGTCATAAGGGAGTTCTATTGTTAGTTTCCTGAGGAACCTCCACACTGTTTTCCAGAGGGGCTGTACCAGTTTACATTCCCACCAACAGTGTAGGAGGGTGCCCGTTTCTCCACATCCTCGCCAGCATCTAGAGTTCTCTGATTTGCTCATTTTAGCCACTCTGACTGGCGTGAGGTGGTATCTCAGTGTGGTTTTGATTTGTATTTCCCTGATGAGGAGGGATGCTGAGCATCGTTTCATGTGTCTGTTGGCCATCTGGATGTCCTCTTTGGAGAAGTGTCTGTTCATGTCTTCTGCCCATTTCTTCACTGGGTTGTTTGTTTTTCGGGCGTGTAGTTTGGTGAGTTCCTTATAGATTCTGGATATTAACCCTTTATCTGATATGTCATTTGCAACTATCTTTTCCCATTCCGTTGGTTGCCTATTAATTTTCTGGGTTGTTTCCTTGGCTGTGCAGAAGCTTTTAATCTTGATGAGGTCCCAACAGTTTATTTTTGCTCTCGATTCCCTTGCTTTTGGGGATGTGTCAAGTAAGAAGTTGCTGTTGTGGAGGTCAAGGAGGTTGTTGCCTGCTTTCTCCTCTAGGGTGTTGATCGTTTCCTGTCTCACGTTCAGGTCCTTTATCCATTTTGAGTTGATTTTTGTGCATGGTGTGAGAAAATGATCTAGTTTCATTCTTCTGCATGTTGCTGTCCAGTTCTCCCAACACCATCTGTTAAAAAGGCTGTCTTTTTTCCATTGGATATTCTTTCCTGCTTTGTCAAAGATTAGTTGGCTCTATACTTTTGAGTCGTGGATCTTTTTCAAAGCTAAATAAGCCTCTGTCAGTTTTTCAGGGTGATAGTCTTTCTTCAGGCCTTGCAGCCATCCCTTTGAAATGAAAACATGAAGGACAGTGTACCTCTATCTCCATGTCTGTGTGGGAGTTTAGCCTAGGCTCCCGGCTCCAAGTTCTTACTACCTGCTTGTTAGATAGGAGTTTTATTTTTCTTGGGGTAAAAGCAGTGACCACAGTTCCAAGGCAACTTTAGGATGAACCGTATGCAGCAACTGATGCTGTCAAGTCCTCTTGCTTGAGGACAAGTTTCTCATTTCTTTTGAAAACATGTATGTAATAGACTGCATACGCCTGGCTTTATAAAAGGGTGAGATTTCTTTCCTTGTAATCTCATTAGTGATTGCCTGTGAAGTGTGTTACAGTTCTGCTGTTAGTGCTTGTTCAGTAGTAAAACTGTTCTCTTTTCTACATTGTGGAGAGGATTTTCTGCTTGGCAGATTTGATTTTTAACTGTTTTCCCAACACTTGACAAAGGGAAAGCCCCTCTTAAAACCGAAGACCAGTGGGGTGTGTGGGTGGCTCAGTGGGTGGCTCAGTTGGTTAAGCATCGGACTCTTGGTTTCAGCTTCGGTCATGGTTTTGTGGTTAGTGGGTTCCGGCCCTGCATCGGGCTCCCCACTGTCAGTGTGAGCCTACTTGTGATTCTCTCTTTCCTTCTCTCTTTGCCCCACCCCTCCCTTTCTCTCAAAATAAAGAAAAACACTTAGATAAATAAATAAATAAAACCAAAGACCAGTATCACTAATGAATATACAGGCCAAATGTCCAAATAAAGTAATAGAATATTGAATCAGCCACTCAGAATGAATTATTTATGACAGCCAAACAATGTCCATGTCACCAGTGAAAGATAATAATAATACCACTTTAAATGCATACATTTTTGCACATACTATAGTTTGACTAACAAGAAAGCTTTACTGAACATTTAAGCTTTTTCTAAAGTTTTGCTGTTTTAAGTAATATCATAAATGGGTACTATATCCTTAGAATATTTTCCTTAAAATGCGTTCTCTAATTCTTTGTACTTTTCAACGTTTGTATTTTTTTAAGTTTTTTTTTTTAATGTTTGTTTATTTTTGAGAGAGAGAGAGCACAAGTTGGGGAGGAGCAGAGGGAGACACAGAATCCAAAACAGGCTCCAGGCTCTGAGCTTTCAGCACAGAGTGTGACATGGGACTTGAACCCACGAACTGTGAGATCATGACCTGAGCCAAAGTCAGATGCTTAACTGACTGAGCAACCCAGGCACCCCTCTTTGCCTATACTTTAAAGGCCAATTCAAGGACTGCCTATGGCACGAAACTATTCTTCAGTCTTCATGCCCAGAGGTCTCACATTATTTTTTTTTTCTTTCTTTTTTTTTTTTTTAATGTTTTATTTATTTCTAGGAGAGAGAGAGAGACAGCGTGAGCAGGGGAGGGTCAGAGAGAGAGGGAGTCACAGACTGAAACAGGCTCCAGGCTCTGAGCTGGCAGTCAGCACAGAGCCCGACGCGGGGCTCGAACCCACGAACTGCGAGATCATGACCTAAGTGAAAGTCGGACGCTTAACCGACTAAGCCACCCAGGCGCCCCACACATTATTTTAATTAATAGATTATCAGTACAGAGTTTAATTATATACCATAAATGGTTTTTTGTTTATAAAGTAGTTATGTATGTGTCTTTAATATAAAGATGTCTTTTCTCTGAACATACTGGATCATTCTTTTGAAGCTTATTGGATCATTTTTTGTTTACCTGACATGTAACCTGTAAAAAAACACAACTAAGCACTTGACCATATGCTGTCAAATGTTGAATGCTGATTTTAAAAATGTTAGAATATTTTTCCCTTTGACAGAATGAACTCTTTTGAAGCAAAGCTCTTATATTTGTCTCTTACCCCTATTGTAAAACAGTGCCAAACACATAATTATACAATTACCACGTAACTTAGATCAGATCCCTGATCATTGCCATCACTATTGAATCTTGTTCCCTTTCTTCTACAACCAGGATAATTTTGTCCCTTAAGCAGAGACAGAAGTGGCCCTGGCTATGACTGAGCCTAAATATGTTTGCTATTTCAGGTGACATTTAGTGATGTGGCCATAGACTTCTCTCATGAAGAGTGGGGATGGCTTGATTCTGCTCAGAGGGATTTATACAAGGATGTGATGGTCCAGAATTACGAGAACCTGGTTTCTCTAGGTAAGCATATCTGCCTTTCCACCCCATTGGGGAGATCTTCTGTTACTTGGACGTACTGGAAGTACTCAGAAAGTACTCGGAAGTACTCAGGAGAGTAAATGGCTGAAATTTTGTTTCAGATTCCCTGGGATGTGTAGAGGTCTGTTGTGCCCTGCCTGAAGCTTATCTTCCCGTTTCAGTGAAACTTCTTTTGGTTCCTTTTCTGATGATGGCCTCTCCTCCATGAGGACCACAGTTTAAACAGGTTCTGTATTTTTCCTGTAAGCAGGTCTTTCCATACCTAAGCCATATGTGATCAGTTTATTGGAGGATGGGAAAGAACCTTGGATGGTGGAGAAAAAACTGTCAGAAGGTATGTTTCCAGATAAGTCATGGGGAATCAGGCAAAAGAAGCCTTTGTTAAACATGCTTGTTGGAAGTTTGAAGGCATTTTCAGATATTTTAGGGGTACTCTCTTCAGAGATCCTAAAGGTAACAAATGAAAGATCCTTAGCTTAGATTTTAAAACAGCCATTCCTCCATCCCAGATTATTATCTTTCTGTATTACTTATGTTATCTAATAAAAAAATGGAGGTTTTTACCATCATAATAATTCAAATTGTTATTTTATTTGCAACAAAATAAAGCAAATTATTCTTTTAAGTCCACCTAAGGAAAAATATACCAATGGTTTTAGGCAAAGAAAGGCTGTCAGTTAGATGGGTAATGACTTTTCCCCTAAGGCTGAGCTTCAAGGGTCAAATGTGGACATGTGGAGTGATAGAGGAAGTAAAGAATGTATAAAAAAGTTTCTAGGACAATATTTTCTTATGTCCAGTGAATGATAGGATTTTACACAGAGCCTACACAAAGCCTAAATCTTTTTGAGGGATAAAGAATATTTGTTTTATTCATCGTTAACCGTGTAATGCAGTGTACATTTTGGGGAGCCTGGGTGGCTCAGTTGGTTGGGCATCCAGGTCTTGATTTTGGCTCAGGTCATGATCTCATGGTTCGTGGGATCAAGCCCCGTGTTGGGCTCCAGACTTCAGCATTGAGCCTGCTGGGGACTCTCGCTCTCCGTCTCTCTGCCCCTCCCCCCTCTCAAAATAAATAAACGTATGAAAATAAATTGTGCATTCTAAGGATACTAACTGACAGTAAATTGAGATTAATTGAAGGTTGGAGAACCAAGGCTGTGAGACACAATGTGGTCTTTTCACATAAATGTAGGTACAGAATAGAACGTTGGCTTGGAATCCAGAATACCTTGTGCTTTTTATTTTTCTTACAGTTTCACTGTTTTTCCGAATTCTGTTTGCCTCTATTTAACTCATTTCCCTTATTACACTCTGTTCCTCTCTTTGTGAGCTGTCTCTGTTTTCTGCTCCATTTGAGCTTTGTTCAGAAATTATTGTACATGAGAATTGTCAGTTATGTGCTTTCTGGGGACAAAGATGTACTCTATTTTTCATCTAGTTCTCTAATACTTCCATAGAAGTTTCTTTTTAAGAAGTACAGAAAAAGCAGTGTTTTGCTTTCTTGATATATTTCAGATTGGGAATCAAGATGGGAAAACAAGGAATTATTAATGAAGGAGAATATTTATGATGAAGATTCACCCCAAGCGGTAATAATAGAAAAAATTACAAAACCGAGTCATGAATTTTCAAATTTTAACAAGGACTGGGAATTTATAGAGGAGTTTGAGGGAAAGCCTGAAAATCAGGTAGAACATTTCAGACCTGTGACCCTCACCTTTAGAGAAAGTCCCACTGGGGAAGGTGTTTACAAATTTAGAAGCATCCTCCATTTAAAGTCTATTCTTTCTGAACCACAGAGAATTTCTGCTGACGGGAAATCACATAAACACGATATATTTAAGAAGAGCTTACCAAAAAGGTCTGTGATAAAAAATGACTGTATCGATGGTGGAAAGAAACTTTTGAATTCTAAAGAAAGTGTGGCAGCCTTCAGCCAGAGCAAATCTCTTACCCTTAACCATTCTTATGATAGAGAGAAAGTGTATACATGCAATGAATGTGGGAAAGCCTTTGGCAAGCAATCAATCCTTAATCGCCATTGGAGAATTCATACAGGAGAGAAACCGTATGAATGTCATGAATGTGGGAAGACATTTAGCCATGGCTCATCCCTAACTCGACATCAGATAAGTCACAGTGGAGAGAAACCTTACAAATGTATTGAATGTGGGAAGGCTTTTAGCCATGTGTCATCACTTACTAATCACCAGAGTACTCACACTGGAGAGAAACCGTATGAATGTATGAACTGTGGAAAGTCATTCAGTCGTGTATCACATCTCATTGAACATCTGAGAATTCATACTCAAGAAAAACTCTATGAGTGTCGAATGTGTGAGAAGGCCTTCATTCATAGGTCCTCTCTCATTCACCATCAGAAAATTCACACTGGAGAGAAACCTTACGAATGTAGTGAATGTGGAAAAGCCTTTTGCTGTAGCTCACATCTTACTCGACATCAAAGGATTCACACTGTAGAGAAACAGTTTGAATGCAACAAATGTCTGAAGGTCTTTAGCAGCTTATCATTTCTTATTCAGCATCAGAGTATTCATAATGAAGAGAAGCCCTTTGAATGTCAGAAATGCAGGAAATCCTTCAACCAGCCAGAGTCACTGAACATGCATGTAAGAAATCACACTAGATTGAAACCTTATGAATGCAGTATATGTGGGAAAGCATTCAGTCATAGGTCATCCTTGCTTCAGCATCACAGAATTCATACTGGAGAGAAGCCCTATGAATGTATTAAATGTGGGAAGACCTTCAGCTGTAGTTCAAACCTTACTGTACATCAGAGAATTCATACTGGAGAAAAGCCATATAAATGTAGTGAGTGTGGGAAAGCTTTTAGCAAAGGCTCAAATCTTACTGCCCATCAGAGAATACATAATGGAGAGAAACCCAGTAGTGCAATAAATGTGGAAAAGCCTTTAGGCCATATGAATCATTCTACATGTGAAAAATCATAGAAGAGAGAAACTATATGAATGCAGTATTTGTCATAATACACTTAGCCATGGATCCTTCTTGAAAATGTATACTGGAGAAAAGTCTTATGAATGTAATGAATATGGGAAGGTCTTTAGCAGTGATGCAAGCCTTACTGTCTATCGCAGTTCACACTTTAGACAGAATGTTTATTGCCTTCATAAAGGCAATAAACGTGGGAAAGCCTTTAGCCAGTATTAATCCCTTAGTCGACATAAGTTCACACAGGAGAAAAATCTTATATATGTAGCATACGGGAAAGACATTAGGCAATATGAATTTCTTATTGAACATGCACAGGAGAGAAGCAATATGAATATAAAAAAGTCCTTCAGTTAAAGTGTATCCCTTATTCTGTATCAATTCACACTGGAGAGAAAGCTTATGTGAGAAATGTAGCAAACTGTTCATTCTTATCTTGCTAGATATCAGAAGATTAATGCTAGAACAGCCTGAAGGATGTAGGAATTATGTGTAAATCTTTCTTTGGAATGATGTTATTTGTAAGCAGTCCTACAAGAGAGCAAATGAATAGATTATAAAAATATGCATTTCTTATAGCAGTAGCAAACAGTTTTACTCGAGTCCTGCATAGAAGTTTCCTTAGCTAATGGGCATGTGAAGATTCTTAGTCACCCAGTGGATCCAGGAGATGTTTTAAAGTTAAAAATTAAAGCTGCAAAAGAAGTAAAAGGTGGTGTGAATAAAGTTATTGGCCTCTAATAAAATCAGTTTGTATATAATGAACTCTTTCACTGTGACACTGATATTTCTTGCAAAAGTTTTTACTTTCCTCTTGAAGAACTAAGCCTTACTATATGCTTTAGTAGGAGACTGACTAAGCTAGAGAAAAATGGCTTGATCTCTGTGCTAAGAATATCCTTTTTTTGGTGAAGATCATTCACAGTCCATTCCCGGTTGGCCTAATTTACACATTTTAATTTTTACAAATGCGGTGAGAACATAATCAAGAAACAACAAACTCTGAGAGATCAGAACAGGTTTCATGGTGGATGTGCTTTTCAATCTGAATCCTAAAGGATGAGCGCTAATTACATGTGGGTGGGCACATGCACTCTGGGAGTCATTTCAGGAAAAGTACACAGGCCAGTTCTGTCCTGTTAGCTGCATCTGGACTCCATGATCCAGTGTCTAGCTTCACGTTTTGTGGCTTTAAAGTATTGCTGCTGGCAGCATCACTGGTAACAGCAACAGTCATTTCTCCATCCTGGATGATAGTTAACGGGAGTTTACCTTGAAATTAATAGTCCAGAGCTGTCCCCATTACTTTTCCTCTAGCCTCCCAACCAATTTTCAAAACAGTTACTTGTAATCTATGTCTTGAAATGTTTAAGAAGCTTTTTGTTTTCTACACTGAACCTTGACAGATAATTATGGTTTGTAAAGAGGCTGGCTTCAAATAGTCTTAAATTTTAGGTAAATGGAATAGTCTTCCTTGTCTCATGGTTTCCTGTCTTGTGACTAGAAGGGTAATACACAGCACTGATTAGGACTGTCCGGACACTTGGAAGTAAAAGGCACTTATATAGCTTGTATTTCAGGTTATGTTCTCTATGGTGTTTCATGTTGTAAGAAAGAAATTGTTTTAAAAAGGAGGATTATATCACATATAATTGTGATGTGGAATGAGTGATAGGGTTTCCAACCTCAGACAAAATATTCTGCTCTAGTATATGTGCAACCCTAACTGAAAGCCAAGAGATGAAGGCACATTCCATAGGAATTCTCAATAGAGATTGTGGGTTTGGAATGGGATGGTAAATTTTTTTAAAAGAGGTTGACCTTTCCTTTGATGTAGTTTTATCTAACAGATTTTAAAATTCTAAGGCATGTTGAAGGATCTTTGAGAGACTTAAGGAAGCACAGCATGGTATCAAGCAAGGATTAAGAACTGTATAATTACGGATAGATTGGCCACTATGTATGTACAGCTGTGGGATAATAAATAGCAAGCATTCTGTTTCTCCCATTCTTTGTCCCTCCTCTGCTCTCCCAAGCACTGGTACCACACAGATGAAGTAGTACTTTAATCCTGAGATTTTATTTCCTTTTACTACATGTAGTTTTATGTTATCTTGTTATTTGATTATGGGAGGAGTCATCAAAATATTCATACTTTGTCAATTAAAAGGCATAAGCATGCTCATGATAACATTTTCCAATTCTTGATTTAAAGTGCCTTCTCAGTGATACTGTAGTTCAGGTTGTGTGCAGATTGTTGTGTTAATCCTCAAATCAATTTTATAGGTGTGCAAGATGGTTTGATGTTGATCTGGCTGCATTTCAGGGAAGAGACAGAAAAAGTTCCACGCTGTTCCATCTCTTGGCCCCTCACTTCACAGTGATACGGAACTAGGAAAAGAAAGCCAGAGTTGAATAAAGGTAGTGAAGGACTTAAAGCAGTGAGAGTATTTTACCTTGTTGCAGATGGGGCTAGGATTATGATGTTACAGTGTCACTGATGGAGATTCCTACTCCGTCATGTCTGTTAACCGTTTCTTGAGCATCTGTGAGCCAGATAAATAAAACACTATACCTTTCAAGAGCTCAAAAGTGTGTGTGTGCATGACTTTTGCCCAGAAGTCATGTTACCTGGCTATAAATCCAAGTTGCATCTATCCTGGCTTTATATGACCTTGGACAAATTACTTCAACATCTGTAAATGGTGATAGTAATACCTCACAGGATTTTATGAAGATAAATGAGTTAATTCGTGTAAAATGTTTTCAGTGTTTGGTACTTCAAAAGCATTCAGTGAAATTAGCTATTAACTTCATCATCATTATCTTCACAGGGCTGCATCATTCTAGGCTGTCACATCTAGTGACAAACATAGAATGACACTACGATCCAGCATTTGCACTACTAGGTATTTACCCACAGGATACAACATACTGAGTCAAAAGGATACAGGCACCCCAACATTTATAGCAGCATTATCAACAATAGACAAATTATGGAATGAGCCCAAGTGTCCATTGACTGTTGAATGGATAAAGAAGATGTGGTGTGTGTGTGTGTGTGTGTGTGTGTCCATACATATATGCAATGGAATATTACTCAGCCATAAAAAAGAATGAAATCTTACCATTTGTAAAGATGTGGATGGGGCTGGGGCGCCTGGGTGGCTTAGTCGGTTAAGCGTCCGACTTTCGCTTAGGTCATGATCTCGCGGTTCGTGGGTTCGAGCCCCGCGTCGGGCTCTGTGCTGACAGCTCAGAGCCTGGAGCCTGTTTCGGATTCTGTGTCTCCCTCTCTCTCTGATCCTCCCCTGCTCACGCTGTCTCTCTCTCTCCTAGAAATAAATTTAAAAAAAAAATTAAAAAAAAAAAAAAGATGTGGATGGAGCTAGAGTATTAATGCTAAGTGAAATAAGTCAGAGAAAGACAAATACCATATGATTTCACTCATGTGGAATTAAGGAAACAAAACAAGTGGACATAGTGGGGAAAAGAGAGGCAAACCAAGAAACAGACTTAAAAAATTTTTTTTAATGTTTTATTTATTTTTGAGAGAAAGAGAGAGACCGGGCATGAGCGGGGGAGTGACAGAGAGAGAGGGAGACACAGAATGTGAAGTAGGCTGCAGGCTCTGAGCTGTCAGCACAGAGCCTAATGCAGGGCTTGGCTCATGAACCCTGAGATCATGACCTGAGGTGAAGTTGGATGCTCAACCGACTGAGCCACCCAGGCACTCTGAAACAGACTCTTTTTTTTTTTTTTTTGAAACAGACTCTTAACTATAGAGAACAAACTGATGGTTACTGGAGGGGAAATAGAGGATAGGTTAAATAGGTGATGAGTATTAAAAAGGGTACTTGTGATGAACACTGGGTGTTGGATACAAATGATGAATCACTAAATTCTCTACCTGAAGCTAACTGGAATTTAATGTTAACTAACTGGAATTTAAATAAAAACTTAGAAAAAAATTAAAAATAAATTACTAATTCATTCTCTTATTACAAAGAAATCACCATGACCAAGTGGGATTTATTCCTAGATTGTGAGAGTGGCTCAACATTTGTAAATCAATCAATGTGATCCATCACATCAATAAGAGAAAGGATAAGGAAAATATGATCATTTCAATAGATGTAGAAAATGCATTTGACAAAGTTCAACATCCATTCATGATAAAAAACCCTCAACAAAACAAGTTTAGAGAGAACCTAATCAACATAATAAAAGCCATATGTGAAAAACCCATAGCTTATACCATCCTTAATGGGGAAAAACTGAGAGCTTTTCCCTTAATGTTAGGAACGAGACAAGGATGTCCAGTCTCACCACTTTTATTCAACATAGTACTGGAAGTTCTAGCCACAGCAATCAGACAATAAAAAAAATAAAGGAATCAAAATCAGTAAGGAAGAAGTAAAATTTTCACTATTTGCAGATGACATGATACTATAGAAAAAGTGAAAGTCTTCACTAAAAAATTCCTAGAACTGAAAAAATAAATTCATTAAAGTTGCAGGACACAAATCAATTGACAGAAATCTGCTGCATTTCTATACAATAAAAAAAGAAATTGAGAAAATAATCTTATTTACAATTGCACCCAAAATAATTAGATACCTAGGAATAAACCTAACCAAAGAGGTGAAATACCTCTCCTCTGAAAACTATAAAACATTGAAGAAAGAAACTGAAGATGACACAAAGACATGGAAAGACATTCCATGCTCATGGGTTGGTAGAACAAATATTGTTAAAATGTCTGTACTACCCGGAGCAGTCTACACATTTAATGTAACCCCTATCAAAATACTAACAAAAATTTTCACAGAAGTGGAACAAACAATCCTAAAATTTGTATGAAACTACAAAAGACCCCAAAATAGCCAAAGCAGTCTTGAAAAAGAAAGACAAAGCTGGAGGCATCACAATTCCAGACTTCAATTTCTATTGCAAAGCTCTAGTCAACAAAACAGTATGGTATT